GACTCCTTATATTGCATTCGGTAGAGTTAATCAGAAAAGGGAGCAAAAGATTTGATGCAAAACTGTGTTTTTTTTCTCATAGACAATCAATAGCTCCCTCTATGTGAAAATAGACAACTAATTTTCCTAAGGTAATATAGATAGATTTTCCCCAACACACGTTGCAATCATTTCTAATGCACACTTCCCAGTTACTCTTTGTTTCCTTACTCCAATCCCTATGGGGAGGCCTCTGCATATCCCTTATCCTGCCTCCATCTCCTAGGACTCTCTTCTGCTTCATCATTTAAAATGCTATCTACATGCTGTCAACTCCCAAACAAGTATCTCCAGCCCATACCTCTCCTGATGGACAGATTTTAATATCCAACTGCCACTCATCACCTCCACTTAGATGTTAACATGACTCAAAATTAACATGCCCCAAACTGAACTCCCGATCTTTGCTCTCAATATTGCTGTACACATAGTTTTCCCCATCCTTGTTAATGACCATTCCATTCTCCCTTTGATTAGACCAAAAATCTTGTAGCTGCATTTCCACATCCATTCTGTCAAGAAATCTCATTGGCCCTACCTTTCAAAATACGTCCAGAATCTGACCAATTCTCACTGATCCCATGCTACCATTTTGGTCTGAGCCAACAGTATCTCTTGCCTAGGTTATTTCAACAGCCTTCTCACTGATCTTTGCTTTCATTCTTGTTATCCCCATCCTTACCCCCCAGCTCTGAATTTATTTTCAAATCAGCAACAGAGTGATTCTTTTAAAACCTACATCAATGCATCTTATGGCTCTGTTCAAAACCCTCCAAGACTAACGCATATTATTCAAGGAAAAGCCTTACATGAACTGGCTCCACTATTATCTCTCTGACCTCATCATCCTACAACTCTACTCTGGCTCACTCCGCCTCAGCCATGCTGGCTTTTTTTTTACCCATCCACGCACATGCCAAGAGCATTCCCTTCTAATGGTCTTTGAACTGTTTTGTCTATCTGCCTGGGGAATGCCCTTCCCTAAGTCCAAATATCTAACTCCTTCACATTACTCATTTTCTCAGTGAGGACCACACTGACCACGTTATTTAAAATTGCGCTCCCCTTTTTCTTTCTCTCTAAATACATAGCACTTATCACTTCAATGTGATATTTATTCTTTGTTTTCTGTCTCCCTCTATTAGAATATAAAGACCACAAGGGCATTAGCCTAGTTAGAGTGTCTGGCACTGAATGGATGTTTGCTGAGTGAATAATTTCAGTCTCTCAGTTATGCAGAATCTTGAAATTTGGGTTATGTGGTGTGTTATTTTTCTGTTGCTACTTTAACAAATCACCACAAACTTAGTGGCACAACACAAACTGATTCGCTTACAGTTCTGGAGGTCAGAAGTCTAAAATCAAGGTGTCAGCAGGGTGTGTTCTTTCTGGAGGCTTCAGGGAGAATGTTTCCTTGCCTTTTTTAGCCTTTAGGGGTTGTCTACTTTCCTTGGCTCACAGCCCCTTCCTCTCATTACTCCAAACTCTTGCTTCTCTTGTCACATCTACTACTTGCTTCAATCTCCTGCCTCCTCTTATGAAGACCCTTGTGATTACATCAGGCCAACTCAGATAAACCAGCACAATCTTCCCATCTCAAGGTCCTTCACTTATTCACATCTGTAAAGTCCCTTTTGCTATATAAACTAACATTCACAGGTCCTGAGGATTAGGACACAGACATCTTTGGGAGGCCATGATTCAGCCTACCTCATGCGGAAAACACTTTTGTGGGTGGAGTATGTGAAGCACAGCACAAGTAGGCAACAACTGAAGAGAAGAAACTACTGTATTTGCCAGTATGCCAATAGGAGATCGAGCTTTGTTCAGATAACTTGGGAGACAGACATACAACTTCTGTTAAATAGGCACATAATGGAGATGGAATAAAAACCAGTAGTATTGGGTCAGATAAGCTTTGAGCAAAGAGGTGAGTATGAGGCTGAGAACTTGGTCGGGGGTGAGACGTGGAAATTCTCTTAAGCCACATTAAGGATTTCAGACTGGATTCTAAGGAAAATTGGAGACCACTGAGGGGACTTACATAGGGAAGGGGCCTGATCAGATTTACAATTTTAAAACATAATGTGGGAAAAAAATGGGAGAGCAAGAGGATATGTGAAAAGACAAGTTGGGAAAATGATGCAGTAATCTAGGTGATAGTGGCTTGCTATTATATTGAGTCTTAGCTTCTTCTCTGCAAAATGAAGCTCATAATTGTTATCAACCTCACCTGGCTATTGCAATGAATCAATGAGAATACACATAAAGCATTGCAAAGAGCATATATGCTGTGCTGGTTACTGGCGTTGTAACTCTGAATCAGATTTTAGCTATCTGGTCCTAACACAAAATTACACTAATCTGCTTAAAAGGAAGTAAGGTTTCGATTACATCTAACACAAGGTATTTAAAAACCAATAAAACATTGACATAATCACTGGCCTCTGCACTGCCTGATTAGGTAAAGAAAACATGTCTGTAAGTACCTCCTGGTAAAGGAAGTAAGAGATGACCATGAGCTTGGAGAGAACTTGGATCCCAGATTTCAATAACAGTAAAACAAGGAGAAACAAAATCACCACTGGGAATTTTGGCTGCCAAAGACTAAATATTATGAAAATGAACAATGTTGAGGGTTCTCAGAAATGATTTCGTATCACCAAGCAATGAGTTATAATAGTATTGTGTACAGAAGCATACACTTGGGCAGGACAAGTAGATTCAAGTCCTGGCTTTGTCACTTACTAGGTTTACCATTAGGAAAGTCACTTAAACTCTCTGAGTCTCAGCTACTCTTTCTGAAAATCGAGATAATTATAGAAATACCTCACTTGTGAGCCTTAGTCAGAATTTAATGAGACAATGTTTACAAAGTGCTAACACAGTTCACGGCACAGATTAAGTACCCAAATGGTTGCTATTGTTATTATTAACGTTATTAATTGTTACAGCCTTTTTTCCTTATATGTTTATCAGTTCAATAACTTTCAAGGAATTGCAAATAGCATCTTAAAAGGTGAGGGAAGCAGGAAAGAGGCCAGCAAGGAAACAGTACAGGGAACGTTAGGTCAATACCAAGTAATCTTAATCAAGCAAGGATTGAAGTGTGTTTACAATGAGCTGGCTAAGAGCACGTAAGGGAAGAAGTAGGTAGGCACCAAGGGGAGAGAGAATGACAGTACCTATGTGCCAGGAGAAGCTCATTTCCCAGAGTGCTGGGCTCCCTATCGTCAGAAATCTGAAAGCACACTAGGAGGAGGAGGATAAATGAGAACACTGGCCGTGCTCTCTGGGCTGCAGCTGCCCTCTCTGCAAAATCATAGGCATATTAACCCTCTTTACATGAAAGGTGGTAAGAAGCTGTTTGCAACCTTCTCCAGAAGGCATTGTCAGTGTATGAAAAAGAACCCCTTAAAAATAACAAGACACGGGGCTTCCCTGGTGGCGCAGTGGTTGAGAGTCTGCCTGCCGATGCAGGGGACACGGGTTCGTGCCCCGGTCCGGGAAGATCCCACATGCCGCGGAGCGGCTGGGCCCGTGAGCCATGGCCGCAGGGCCTGCGCATCCGGAGCCTGTGCTCCGCGGCAGGGGAGGCCACAACAATGAGAGGCCTGCGTACCGCAAATAAATAAATAAATAACAAGACTGCTGTTGTCAACAATAAAGCTCTGAAGGCAATCTCAGATATTATCAAGCCTAAGAGGGCCCATGCTGCTGAGCTTTCCAATGGATTTGGACAGCCAAGGTTTGTAAGTTGCATATGGTCAAGAAAAAACCAAAGAAATAATATAATTTTCCGAAAGCCAAGGCGTAAGTCCAGGTCCAGGATAAGCAAATGAAGAGGTGTTTAAATGACTGAGCCTTTTCAGAAGGGAGGGAAGTAGGAGAGTCACGTGGCTGTCATTCTTCCCTTTGGATGCCCCATGAACTCAGGCTGAGTTCCTGTGGGAAAAAAGTACTTGGGTTTCATCTCAGCAAAGTACGCTAGAGCAGGCCCTTAGAATAGCTTTCACACAGTGAATTTAGCAATTTTCAGAACTAAGAAGTATTAGATGTCTCTGGCAGACTAGATGACTGATTACAGGTCATTCTCAAATAAAAAATATCTCAGTGGCTCTCTACTGCCTACCAATTACATACTCTTCTCCTGATTTTGGAAAACCTTCCCTTTCTCTGCTCAGTCCCCATCATGGGATAAGGAAACTCTGAATGTCCCAGATGCAATCCCACCTGGGTGTGGAGACTAACAAGAGAACGCTCAGTCTAAATTCTAAATTCCCAGGAAAACTGACTGTCCATCTCAAGTGTCCACCCTTGGTCCAATTAGACATGACAGGTCATACATTACAAACATGCCAGAAGTGTGTCCAGTCTGCCTTGCCCCTCTCTTCATTTTCTGTGCCCTAGACTCAGACACATTAATCAGTTTGCCATTTCTTCCACATCCTTCCTCTGGGTTTCCTTGTGATTTTCCTCAGGGTAGAATGTCCTTTTTCTAGAGATTACCGGTTAGAAAAAGAAATCAAACACAAATTCAAGGATTGGGTTTGGAGACTGTTCAGAATTCACACTGATTCACAGGTCTTAAACAAATTATATTTCACTATGGTAAGTTTAAAGGGTACGGGTCTTAGTTAAGGTTACAAGATGACATCAAGTTGGGGATATTCAGACTCTGGTCTGTGCTCATTCCTTACCAGGGAACATGTATGAATGTTGGCATATGTCACAGAAGCCTGGTACTGTGATATCTGGAGTCTCTTTCAACCTCAGCCAGTCACTTTGAAATCATAGCATCATTGCCTTAACAAGATCACCAATACTATTATTATTCTAACTCCAGTTCCAATGTGTAGGTTTTCCAATACCACTGTGCAATTCTCTGACACCAGCTGGGTGTCCTACAATTCAGTTTACTTCTGACACTGCCTACCTGGAGACAGCATCAGATCCCACAGTTAAGGGCTCAGTCCTACAACACTGCTCCCCACTCCTACTTCAGATGCCAACTGCAAGTTCAGGTTGTTACCTATGCTTTTGACCAACTGGCTATAAATTAGAGGTTCCTAAGACCCCCTCCTTGGGTTTGAGTAACTTGCTAGAGTGAAACCATGAAAGCAGTTTACTGACTAGATTACCTGCTTCTTACAAAGGATATTAAAGAGTACAAATCAACAGCCAGATGAAGAGATTCATAGGGTGAGGTCCTGAACAAAGGGGATTCTGTCCCCATGGAATTTGGGGCCTGTCACAGTGGCACAGGAAAGCCTTCCGGTTCACCGACCTGGAAGGTCTCCAAACCACCTCCTTCCGGGTTTTCACGGAGGATCCATTACATAGGTATGATTGATAAAATCACTGGCCATTGGTGATTGAACTGAATCCCTAGCCTCGCTCTCCACCCTGGAGGCTGGGGGTGGGACTGAAAGTTCCAAACCTCTAATTAGGATTGGTTCCCTTGGCTACCAGCACCCTCCCTTGCTGCTTTCCAATTCACCTCATTAATGTAACAAAAGACACCTTCATGGCTCTCATCATTAGGGAATTCAGGGTTTTCAGGAGCTCTGTGCCAGAAATGGGAATGAAGACCAAATGTATATTTCTTACCATAAATCACAACATCACAGCTATATTGTTGAGTTAATCCCAGTTGACATATCAACTAAGCTTCACGCATGTAGTCGCAGAAAGGCAAGTAGTCACGAGTGATCACTTATCTGCAGAGCTACAGGGCCTGCAGGTACAGAGCATGACAGGCTTTGCCTCGTCACTGACCCAACTCAGCGCCATCTCATGAGGAATCTTTCTTACCCTTCCAGGTAATGTAATATATCCCTCTCTGTCATCCCCAGAGCATTTGGTTTCATCTCCTGCATCAGGCTGTAAACGTTTTGCACACTGAGTGATATGTGCTTTGTGGTCAGTTTGAATCCTTGTACAGCCACTTAATTGACCTGGTGGAGAAGGTTCCTCACTGGTAAAATAGGCTATAAAAATATCACTTTTAGGTGTGGTGTGAAAATTAGATTGCACTGTATATAAAACATAATATATTGCCAGGTACAAAGTAACTACCCAATAAAAGCTAATAACATCACTATTATTTCTCGAAGAAACAGACTGTATCTTACATACTTGAGTACATTGCTTATATCTAAGAACAATAAATAAATTAAATAGAAAATGGCCACTCCAGGACAATGCCTCCAGCCACCAGGTCGAGTCCTGTCAAATGCCTAATGGGATGACATGGACATCTTCACCAACAACAACTTGAAACATGACAAAGATACCAGCATCTTTTACTTAATTATGCCCCTGCCATGGCTAAACTTGCCTGCCTTCTTTGAATCCTTTTAGAATTCTCCTATATTACATACGTGTAATCTCTAAGTGTTTGTTAGTCACGTAAAAATTAATAAACAAAACCTCAATTAAAATAGAGTAAGGCCACCAGAAGGGGGAGCTCTCACACCCAAGGACAATAGAAGGGCCCAACAGGAAGAAGAAAAGATTTCCTCTTGCTGGCAAGAGCTCAGCCAATGAGAAACTGTCACAACTCAGCCAATAAAAAGCCACTGTACTTCCAACCCTCAATTCCTCAATGGACTCTGTAACCCTCCCAACTTATTTCTCCCCTCTTTAATAGAGTTCTCCTTTCCATTTTCATTAGGAACTTGTATGGGGCTCACCATGATTGCAAACCCTGAATTACAATTCTTTGTTGACCCCGAATAAACCCATTTTTGCTGGAGAAATAACTGGCAGTCTTGGTTTTAGATCAACAATCATGAACATTCACTGGGCACCTACCACGTGTGAATTACTACATTAAACACTGCAGATACCAGATGAGAAAATACTCTGTTCTCAATGTGTAGACAATCTCATTCTTGGATGCATTATCTAATTTAACCCTTAGTTTGATGCTCACTTCATGTTCACAAATCCACAATTTATACAACTTTATGATTTATAATGATTTCACTTCTCAGTCTACACATTCACACTTGAGAATCATAATCTTTTCCAACTGACAGCATCCCACAGGCCATCACTGCGAGTCCTACTCTGGACTTGCTCTGGTTCCATTAAAATCACCATTGCCATCATCATAACTAATTTTCACAAAATGATGGGTACACTTCAAAGAGTTTGTTCCTATAACTTACCTCATTTACTGTATCCAGACTTCTCATACAGGTTAGTTTACTAAAGCTCCATAGGGTGCAGTCTGTTGTTTTTTAGCATCTCTTTTGATAAGCCTAAATGCTCAGTATGCTTTTTGGTCACAACAGGTCACTAGGTCTTTGTCTTCATGGAACAACCTACAAAAGGTCTACCAAGCTTCTACTATAGGTTCAGACCTAGAGTAGTAGTACATTTTAGTAATATATTTTATGTCTTAAATTTGAATTCAATGTTTCTCCCAAGTCCTTGGCTTTGTACTTACCATCCTTGAAAGTCATCTGCCACCTTTGCACCCATTCAGAAATTTGCAAGTCCTTCTTACAGTCTGAGGTCAGATGCCAAAGGATCCTTCTAGGCTGACTGTGTGTTGTCCTGGGACTGAAAGATTTGGGGTTTTTTTTTACTAACCATATATCTCTGGAATCTTAGTCACTGCATTTCTCTACCTAGATAAGTTAATTTTTCTTACTCTTTATTATTATCTTCATATGTAGTTTCCTAGCCAAATGACTGACAGTTCCATAAAAATTACACTTAGATATATCTCGTACTTACATATATTTGGTGTAAAAGTTTGAGAAACCCCTTTTACATCTCAAATACATATACAAGTTTACTTCTACCCAAATGCCTCTTCATCCTCACTTTGACAATATGTGCAACAAGAGCTTTAAATATTCTTACACTCTTTGATTCAGTAATAATTTTTCTGGCATATTTCTCAGAAATTGACAGAATGAATTACCATATCAGCTGAGTAACAAATCCATACACAAGTCAGATTATTTCAAATTGTTTGTTTTCAATAAATATAAAGAAGGACCTATTAGCTGGTGGATCGTTACAAATAATTTTGCTGATAGATCGCTATGATTTTTGGCATGTGATAAACTTTTAAAGGAGTTAAAAATCTGTCACTGCTATAACTAATTTTTTTAATTCCAATTTACATTTGTATGTAAACAAGTTTCTCAGTGCACATATATATATATATTTGAAAAACAGAAGATGCTAAATTTATTAGGAATAAGTAATATCTATTCATGGATAATTAAACAGAAAAAAACTAAAAATCCTTTTCTCATTAAGAACCCCATTTTCAATAAAACTTAAATTTTGTATTTATTAACTCGAAATCTGTGATATAGTTTTGTTGTTTGATCAACTTCAATATATATATACTTTTTTGTTGCAGAGAAATGGAATTAATCTGTACCACTGAATAGGTTACTTTAGGATAAATTTATAAGGAGAAAGTACAATGGAAATAGAAGTTCAAGGAAAAAAGAGAACAATTTAAAATATCTTACTATTAATGTAGAGCTGTCATGCTTTTTTTTTTTTTTTTTTTTTGCGGTATGTGGGCCTCTCACTGCTGTGGCCTCTTCTGTTGCAGAGCACAGGCTCCGGACGTGCAGGCTCAGCGGCCATGGCTCACGGGCCCAGCTGCTCCACGGCATGTGGGATCTTCCCGGACCAGAGATCGAACCCATGTCCCCTGCATTGGCAGGCGGATTCTTAACCACTGTGCCACCAGGGAAGTCCTCAAGGGTACTTTTGACAGAGCTGTTAATGTGGAACAAGCTTTAATATATCAGAGTTATCAGCCCCTTTAACAAGAGCTTCCAAACATGCTCACTTTAACATCATTTGATTTTAAACTTGGGAAAGAGTCTTAAATTTAAAACTCATCAAAATTAAATAAAAATAATCTCTCCCAAGGACTGGCAAAGTTCTTGGGGAATTTTCCACCTTTAGTACAGTTTTCTTCAAAAGTTATTCAATTACTTGAGCAATATTTTAGATAACAGGGACCAAGAAGCTTTTGAATTAACTAAGTATAGAAATACAGATAATATCAGATATTAGAAAATTATGTGTGAAAACTATTTTATGATCAAGTTTCCCCTCTGCAAAATATTAAAGGAGAAAAAAAAACTTTGATAAAATGTCTTCCTTTTTCCCTTCCCCTCAATAATCCCAACTAAACTCATAGCTTCCAAGTCCTATTTACATCTTGGCCTACTCCAGTAGGCTTCTGTTCCCATCACTTCAAAACTACCTGCCCTCTAGAAGGTCAACCTTGAACTTGTAAACTTTAGCTCCAATCTTTGTCTCTAATCAATCTTCATCTTCAATTATCTGACAGAGGTGACCATTTCCTCCTTGTTAGACCTGTTGTCTTCCCTGATGCCAATGATCTTCCTCTTCTGACACTACTACTATGGTTTGAACTGCTCCTTCCAAAGCATCTGTTCCTTTACGATCCTTTAGGTGGAAGGAGATATACCCCAAAGTTGTTCTTAGCCCTCTCTTGGCCCTACGCCCTCAGGACTGTACACCTCAATGGCTTGAACTATCACCTTGATGCACACATTTTCTAAATATACACCTTTTAAAGACATCTTACCTAAAAGATGTTTCATTTCCAACTGTTTAGGCTCTTCACGCACCTCAACATATCCTCATTTTCTCTCCCTTCTACACCCATAATACACACCTCTCTCTTGCCCCAATCCCTTCATCCCAAACCAGTACTTACCTTCTTCTAGGACTCAATGCAAAGCACCACCATTTCCTCCTAGGTGTCTTTTTTTCTTTTTTTTTTTAATTGGAGTACAGTTGCCTTACAATGTTGTGTTAGTTTGTCTGTACAGCAAAGTTAATCAGCTATATGTATATATCTATATCCCCTCCTTTTTGGATTTCCTTCCTGTTTAGGTCACCACAGAGCACTGAGTACAGTTCCCTGTGCTATACAGTAGGTTCTCATTAGTTATCTATTTTATATATAGTAGTGTATATATGTCA